TGCAGTGATGGCGACTAGCTGCTTTGTTATACAGGGTTCACAAGAATTTTATGCCCCTTTCAACCTGCGCGGCTTGGAGATCGTGCACCATGCAACAGGAGGTCGACAGTTCGTGCTGTAAGGCCGGATCAAAGGGCAACAAGCAGGTGGCAAAATGGGAGTTTCCGAAACATAGGGGACCCCCAAAAAACAAGGCACCCCTAATTTTCGGAAACCTCCCAAATGAGGCATAGTAGGTTTTGACTGCACCCAAGCAAGTGCGAGAGTCGACCAAAGCTCGACGAGGCGACGTGAATATACGGAGTGAGCTTTCAGAGTAGATGTGTTTGGTTTAAAGATCAGTGCATCCATACCAAGCAACAGAGCCGGCAATTTAGGGTCACCAACTCCGGGCGACATTGGCACTCTACCATTCCCAATCTTTAACAGGCAATCCGAGACCATCAATCAGGCCCTGGTACGGTACAGGTAGCCTCAAACCCTGCTGCGTCTTCGAACCTGCTTGGGTTGTCCGAGTTCGAGTGTCAAATCTCTACCCTCCCCTTGGAAGATCTCAGGCATGGACGGCTCCTGCGCGAGCTGTGCTGGCCGCAACACTTTGGGTAGCTGTCCGCCCGCGAGACCTGTGGAGGCCCTCCATTTCTGAGAGAGAAAGACTTGCAAGAAGAACAAGGACAGAGAAGGAGCGAGCCGGGGCATGTTGTGTGGTTTTCATTTTGGCATTAGTGCCGTGATAGCTGCACAGTCAAGCTGACGGCTGACGGTGGGCTCCAGCGTGTATCCCGTACACCCACTACCGATACTACCGTTCTTTTCAGAGCTGACCCTTGTCCTGCTGGTGCCTGGCTTGAGCTTGAAGTCTGGTCTGCCGTCGCGTCCGTGACACAAATGCGACACCTCTTCAAGAAGACAAGCTGCATAGAGCAACAGACCATACCATGTGCGGGTCGCTCTTGTGAGCATTGTGCGACACTTGCAAGAGTTGCCCCCGCGGATTCCCCGCGGTTGTAGTAGGTACTAGTAGGACGCACAGTTGGCAGCAAATGTAAAGCTCATTGGAATGGAGAAACACTGTGCGCCGCATCGGCACCTGTTCGGGTCAATTCTGCGAAGCATCACAGCAAGAATACCTGGGCGAGCAGGATCGAGCAGGTCTGTGCTAGCTAATGGGCTTTGCCTGCAATTTGTACGTTGGCTAACCGTTTTCTCAGCCCAAGGAGGCGGGCTATCCGTTCTCGTGCAAATACATGGAACCGAAAGAGCTGAAGCAAAGACACCAAATCTGCCACCGCCTAGCCCGTGGAACCATATTGTCACATAGATAGCGATACTGTGTGATATGACAGTAGTCGTAAATAGTAAGGATGAGTTGCATCATCATTATCACAACCCTCGTCGCTTAACGTTCTGTTTAAAAGTTTCAAGGCTCCAAACCGACTTCTTCTAGGGAAGGCTTCCAGCCTGACGTTTTGGACTTCCGGGCCGCTGTGCAAACGAGTCAGACATTGGGTACGGCCCCTGCACTCAGTAATAGTTGAATAATATTCATAATATAGATATAGAGGGACCTTAAAAGTAGCCCTATTATAGACTCGTACTGTATGGGGGCCGTACCTAAGTCAGACACCTCAGAGTCATTGCTCAATCTGGAGAGGCCAAAAACATCTTTGTAGATCCCAGCCGCGTGCTGGCAGCTGTCCCTGGGCTGGAAGATATGGCGACATGCTATGTTTCAAACAAAGTCTGCCTTTGAAGTAAAGGTCCATCAGTTTCTGTCGCATCACTTTCCCTCAAGTGCTGTGCATGTTAAGTTGCGCTCCGTGAAGATTTGGGAGCACAGCCTCAGACCAAGAGTGTAAACTGAAGGCGGACTTCCTTGCTGTAGCTTCACCATGTTTTGAAGTTGAGTGTTGGACCGACATGTGGCAGAGATTACTGGAAGTTTGGATGGGTAATTGCCGGCAGTAGACCGAGCAGAACTCATCTCACACCCTACGATGGCACTTGGGCTACAAAGCATGTGTTGCGGCTGGTGCATCCTAGGCCCCTGTGCCATCGGCATCTACTTCGCGGGTGATGTGGTCCCCACAAATATCGTGCCTTGGCTGTCTTGGTATTGAGAGCTGAGGCGAGTGCTTGATTGTCTGGCTGGCTATTGTTGGATAAGCTGCGAAATAATCATGCATACTGGCATGATGCTGAAGGTGCCGATCTGTGAACACGCCTGCCAGCCCGATCTTTTCGAGCCGGGACACTACGGGTGCAAGTTCTGCTTGGTTTAGCACAGGGCTTTTAACTGGTGTTCGAGCTGCGTGAGGCTTGGCAAATTTAAGATGCTCCCGTGTTTGCACTGTTGGAGCACGAGTCTTTCCAAGAGAGTGCCATGGTGCATTGGAAGTTGTCGACGTTACAGCGATTCAAGCCGAAAACCCCGAAGTTGAAAACGATTGTTTCTCCCAGCACTTAATACCCTAAGGCCCCATAGTAGTGCCTTTTTAGGGTTCATATTAAGAATCCTAAAAGGAAAATCCCAAAGAGGAACTACTCTGGGGCCTTAGGGTACTTGTTGCGGCTTACTTGGGCAGCTTGGAGGAGACGACAGCTTTTGCAGTGAACCTTGGCTGATTTCTGTGAGTTAGTCCGGCTTCCCGGGAGTGCAAGTGTCTGTGGTGTTGCGTCACCCTTCTTTCGCCTGTAGCACGATCTTGGGTGTTGTCTTGGGCTCCAATGACACTTGCGCAATCAGATGCTTCGTCATTTTGTGGGCCTGCATCAGGATATCAGGCTGGCCTCGGCCCATTTTATCTAATTAGTTAGGCTGTGCACAGTGCCTGCAGTATGTGGACGAGCAGATTCACGGGGGCAAGTGTGGCCTCGGGGCTACAGGTGTCATTACTGAGTGTCCTCGGAAGACGTGGCTGGTCAATGAGCAGACCGTCAGTCTGTTGTTACGAGATGATGAGGTCATGATTTCGGCACGTTTTGACTGAGCCTGCACAGGAAGCCTCCCTCGCCGCCTTCGCGTATGCGCAACGTCTCGCCTGCCGCGTTTTCGCGGCCCCTGCAGGAGTTAACGGGTTGAACAGTGTATGTTCTGAAGCGGCCGCCGAACTTCGTCTTTCACCAGACTGCGAATGATACCCAACTTGCCCTGATGCCATCAGGAGGCAGAAACATACATCGGAACGCCTGTGGTGGCTTTTCCTCGCCGCTGACCGCCAGTGCGGCTACGCTCGCTGCTGAAGCCTGCTGCACAAAAACCCACGGAAGCCTATTCGTCAATATGACCTGAAAGGTAATTACAGTGCTACGAGCACAGGCTTCACGCAAAGTTTCTCATACTTGATGGAGTACGTATGTCAGAGGGATAAATAGCACCGTGAGTGAAGTCAGATGCCGGCATATTTTGCCTCTTGTAACCGCTTTGCAGAGGTTTGTGCAGGTTGAGGTCGCGGGATGGCTTGGCCATGTCTCTCATATCAAACAGGGATATGCATCACGTCACATCTGCTTAGTACACCATTCATCTCGTCCGTCCCTCCTGACATGTCTTCTACTTCATCAACCGTTCCGGCGCTGAACCGCCTTCCCGTTGGGCCCATCGCACGCCGACTTCGGTGAGTGTTGCTCTTGCTGTGCTGCTTTGCACGATTTGATGTGAAGCCTGAGGACTTCTTTCGTATACATGCGTAAGCCTTTCAAAGACCTAGTCAGACATAGCGTGTTTCTCGCTCCCTGCCACCACTCTTGGTATCACGTGTCCGTTCTGGTCTCCCTGGTGCCGTGCCTTAAATTGGCCTCGGTAGGAAGTCCGCAGGCTCCAACACGGAGAGGGCTTGCGGGACAGCGCGTCCGAAAGCCGATTGTCAGAAGAGCCGGCAGTTCCTGTGAGGTGAACGCATGGGGACTGGACCGCCATCAACAAAGCATGCATTAATTTGATGCTGCGGTTCCGCCAAGCAGCTTCAGTCCAGCGTCCAGTGCGCCGAGCGGGCGGCAACGTGTGCTAAGAGTTTGAGACCCGATGCCAGTTCACAGGTTGCGAACCCTGCATATCCCAGTCTATGAATCGAGAGCTGATTCAAAGTTGCAGACGGCATCGTTGCCGGCGCAGAACGGGCGCCTCGAAGCAGTGGATTGCAAAGGGCCGTGCTTGGAGCTTGGAGCCATGTGTCGTCAGCATACGTAGCACATGATGCGACTACAGCTCGACTCAAGTTTCTGTAGAGCGGCATGCGTAGCTGACATCGCATCATAGTTGTTTTTGCCTTGCCAGCTGAAGCCCACATTCCAGCTCGGCAACATTACATACTGTATCTTGGTTGTTTCCATGGTCTAAGAGTGTTATTATCCTGTTGATCTTTTGGATCATGCTACTTCCGCTTCCTATCGTTCGTCTTGGCTGACTGTTGTTGGGGTTGTGGTTAATCATGTTGTCACATGCTAAAAAGCTCTCCTCACGTCTCATTGCATGAAGGATTCCTCTCAACTTGACGGTTCCAGGCACGGCCCTGCCACGCATGACCGAGGACTTTGCTCTCACATGCCCAAGTTTAAAGAGGTGTGTGTGTGCAACCTCTTCGGCGCTTGTGGTGCCTGGAAAGCAGAATTCTGTTTGTGTTGGGTGCATCCGAATGTCGGTCATCCTTGCACGACTCTCTGCTCACATGCGCCCGTGATTGCGTCATCACACTGCTGAACCGACAATTCGCTGCATGTGACGCCCACAAGTGTTTGTTGCCAAAATGTGCCCATGCTCTAGCATCACCAGTCGGTACCTGCAGTAGTTTATGCTCCCCCTTCACGGGGTTGCCCTAGCGTGCATGTCCCGCGTGATCGCAAGCACCTTCTCAGTGTTCTGCAGTTGGGGCCGAAAGCTTGATGACTGGCCATCGCACAGGCCTCTTTAGAAAACATAGGATGGCGAGTCTTGCGACATTTAGCCTGAAGCCTTAGCTTTCGACAAGTTGTCCGCGTTTGCTTTTCATCCGAATCCCCAGGCACGGCAATGACTGGATGCAGCGCAGAACTCGGCTCTGAAAAGGGGAAGAGCTTCAATTGATGCATCAACCTATGACATAGCTTTCCGGCTTTTCCCATCGTCGGTTTATGTGTGGCTCACCCTAGATTCAGCCTAGTCATGGACAGCTGCTGGCTACCAAGGGCCTACTGGATGCCAACGGAGGCCGACAAGGGCACCATTGCCTTGCGGCGATGGCTTGATAAGAGCCTTCGTTCACATATTTAGTTGTTGTGGTCATCGCAGGAATGGGCTTTGGGAAGTTGTAGCATCGGTGGCGTTGATCGCATGGCAGGCGTCTGCAGCACTAAAACTGCACGGCAGAATCATAGTACCTGAGTTGGCGCACATGTCCTGGCCGAGGAATGGTGGCATCGTCCAGCCCTCAGAGTTCCTGAACCCGCTCCATGGGAGCCGCTGGAAAGACGTGATTGCACTATCATCGCACTCGAGAGGCTTTCAGCTGGTGGCCGGTTTGAGTTCGGGTCCGCGATGTGCATGCAGTTGCCACTTAGACAACACCAGAAGCTACGAATCAAGGCTGATCACACACAATGAACTCTTGCACACCTGCCCATACGAAAAGTCAGCCTTCAAACTTCAAAGCAGCAGCCAGAAAATTGCATGATTCTTAGTTACGGAATGTTGTGGAGAACATCTTGCACCAAGCGACCAGCATCGGATCTGAAAGGAAGCTGTCCTTAAGATTTGCCGCTTTGCCAAGGCCTGGAGCCCAGGTGTCGACACGGACATGGCAGTTGCGGCCCAAGATGCTCAAGGGTCAGATTTCCTCTTGCATCGAAGGTTGATGGTTTAAGGGTGGCTTTGGGTGGTTTAGGGGTGTCGTGGACCGTGCAGCCATACCGAGCAGCAGCGATGGCGCAGGTCCCGGTGACTCACAGGTGCTCGCTAAACTCAGAAAGGAGGTGCGCGGATCGCATTGCTTGAGCGTTGCCCGCCGTCACCTGAAGCAGACCGACGAAGCTTCCGATTCTAGGACGTTATAATGCATCAAACCATGGTCACGGCTGCGGGGTTCGTAAGTCGCGTTGCATCATGGATGATGTTGCCGTGACCGATGGTGGCAGAAATCGCGTTGTCCCCCTGAAAATGATGAACATGCTGCATAATTCGCAGTGGCCCTCACGATGTCACTGCAATTGCAAGAGAACTCAAGAGACACAGGCCATGCCATGCAGAGAAGAGTCGAAAGCGATGCTGAGGCCATGCCTGACAAGCACTTGCTTTTCGACACATACAAGCAGAACACTCAGTCTCAGGCGCCGGCACCGCGTCCCTTCTGGTTAGGATCGACAGGTCAAACTGGGCACCATCTCCCACATGGCAAGTGCGCCAAGGACGCATACCTCCCAGTGCACGAGCTGCCAGAAAGCCTTGAGGTCTGCCGGCGTAGGGTCCAGGAATTTGACGGCCTTTTCCTGAGAGGGTCTGCGCTTCGACTACGTAGCCACTGCAGTTTGGCGACCGCCACTGCTGGTATCAACAGCCATCACGATCGCTAGCAATTAGACTTTCACCACTTGCGATTCCGTTGAGCTGTTGGTGTTGGATTTGCTGGCCGAGAAAATGACAACAACACTCGGGAAGAAGTTCAGCCAGCCCGATGATGACTAATAATCCTGACGACGGTTCGAGGTTTTGCCTCGATGAAGATGACGAAGATGATGGTGACTGCTGTTTTCGTCGTGGGTTGGTCATGATGATGGCGATGATTATGATGAGGGCTTGTTGCTTTGGGATTTGTTGTTGCTGTTTGTCGTTTTGGGGTCTTTGGTGCTTTTTTTTTTTCTGTTTGTTTTTTTTTTTCTGGCGGTGCCGTTGCGATTGTAAGTGTAAGGCTGGCTGGTTGCTGCTTTTGCTTGTGCAAGTGGCAGGTGCTGCTTCCTTATCTGAGCTTCGCACCTTTGTCCCACATCAGCCCTGTAGACAGAGGCTTGCATTTTGTGCAGGTTTTCGTCACGATGCATGGGCAGTTCCCGCAACGCATGCCACCAGTTTGGAGAATGGCCATGGGCGCAATCACGTGCGGCTTGGAAAAGACATGCAGCGAACAGCCATGACACCTTGAGCTAATTGTCGTCGTCGTTGTTGTTCTTCTTGTCGTCTTCTTCTTCCGAAAGCTCTTGGAAGTTAATGCTAGGTATGGACCATGGATTGTGCCAATGCCTTGCAGTGGGATCTTGCAGCTGTTTGCCAATTTCTGTGGAGCCAACTCGTCGGAGGTGGACTAACAGGCTGAACAAGGTGTTCAAGTACTCGGTAGCAGCCTCAGATGTCGCAGGATTGGCCGATACAGTGATCGGCGTGAATAACGTCGAACATGTAGACTAGGCTTAGAAGGAAAGGCGAAGGGAAGACGTTTTTTCAGAACCAGAAGCAGCCCATAGCTGCTGCAGGATCGGACAAACATTATGTTTCATTTTTGTTGGGGGGATTTCACAACCCATACAAGCCGCAAGCTACCCGAACGTAGATTCCTTGCCGCTTCCAACCAGTGGTCCGAACCATGGGGTCGAGCGGTCCAGTTGTGGGATCTTTAGGAGCAAGTTGTGCAGTGTTGACTGCCCAGTTAGATCATTAGACATAGAAGTCGAGATAGATATGTGTCTTTCTCATGGGCAGCATGATAAGAACCTCGAAAGACAATTCAGCTGACTCGTGGCTGAAGCGCGTGTTTGTACTCGCAAGTGGTGCACTTCGTCCGCAGACATGAAATATGGGCCGTGTCAGAATTAAAGTCTTGCCACAGCTCCGATTGCTTCCTTGTCCCAAAGCTGCAGGCCTTGGCGTGTGTTTCGGCAGGCAAGACTTCAGCAGGGCAAGTCTTGCAGATGCCACCTTCCGTGCTCTCCATTTCGCACAAAGATTTCTGTTTTCATAGCGTGATCACCCAGAACTTTGCTAATCATGTCGATGGCCGCTTTGGACTGTAGGACACGTCCTGCGCTGCGTGGCAGGCATTGTGGGCACCGTCTCCTGGCCCTTGGTCGCCTCCGGGGCGGCTTTGGGTGGTGCGACGTTGGCCACCGAGAAGGTCAGCCACAACCTGCAGCGACTTCAAGGATTGTGTCGAGCAGGCTTCAGACCAGGTGATTGGGTCCGTGAGAGAGAGAGAGAGAGAGAGAGAGAGAGAGAGAGAGAGAGTCAGATTGAGTCAGAGAGATCGGTAGGTGTCAGACTTGAGCAGCTTCTCGGAGACAGGCGTCACAGGAAGTTGCGCTGCGCAGTTTTTATGCACTGATGAGTCGCGAGTACCAGAAGTGATTCCTGTTGAGTTGATCGCCGGTACATCCTTGGAGAGAGGAAACCACGAATGTAGCCGTGCGGCGCTTCTGTTTCTTCCATATTTGCAGGTTCGCAAGATGTTCTACGAGGTGCCGTTCCACCATCAAGACAATGACTAATCCTGATTTTCCAGCAGCTTCGATGCAACTTGCAGCCCCGTAATTAGCCCCAGCGTGTTGTTGGCCCCTTAGATAAAGAAGTTCAGAAGAGTCTAGTCCTGTCAGAATGATGGGAATAAGAAGCGGTGATGCTAAAGACCGAGAGCGTCTTGCTCACTCCGGGCTTGTGCTGCCGAACTAAGCAGAGTGTGTTTGCACCTCCACGCAGAGTTGTGCAGATTTTCGCAAGCCAAGACATGCGCTGGTCAAAGACTGCAGCAACTGTACGTGCGGTCAGTTTAGCTGCAGCGGCTCTTGACTTTCACCCACGAGGGCTTGGGATAGAAGCAGATGGCCCCTTTTCAATTTTCTCCTGCGCGTGCCCGCACAGGAAACATGCAGCTTTTCTAGCCTCGCAACGACTGTTCGTTTTAAGGCATCTCCCAGACTGCGACTAGACACATCAGAAAGTGCCAGCTGGATGCCTTGTGGGGTGGCTTTACAGGTTGGCACAATTGGTTTGATGATGGGAGGCCTTTCAGTTGGCGGTCACGGGGTATTCCAAGCAAAATTGCCGCAACAATCCAGAAAAAACAGAGTGTTCGTCGCGTCTGGTGCCTGTGAGGAGTGTTTTCTGCCGTGATGGCCGTAGAGCCAGCTGGAAAGTGCGCATCGCCAAGCGTGGAATGTCGGACCATAAACCGCTCAGGTCAGAGTGCATTCAGGGCATGAGTGTGGTTAGGCTGGTGCTGTAGCAGTAGTTTTAGTTGTACACTTTGTAGACATGGCAGTACAGTCGTAGTTGCAGTAGTCGAAGTCGTGGTTGTTGGAGGTCGGAGCTAGGAGTTGGTAGAAAGTCGCGGGTAGTTACATAGTAACTTAGTAGTGAGTAGTCCCTTGTGGGAAGCAAACAGTACATTGAGAAGTTGGTAGTCGTCGTCGTAGCAGCAACGGCAGCCTTAATTAGATATTAGCACCGGTAGTGGCAGTAGCAGTTCGCAATCGTACTGGTAGGAGTACGGTAGGAGTAGGGGTGCGGGTTTTGCAGCAAAAACAGAAGCAGTCCTTCGCAGAACTAGCGGTACTGTAACTAGCAGCACTAGCCGTGCTAGTACGTGGTATTAATCATAACATATCATAACCGTACTAAGCGTGCCAGTCTCACCAGTCGAACTAGTTGTACTGCTCGTAGTACGACTTACTAGTAGTAATAACAGGACCAGTACTGGTAGTAGAACTAGCAACAGAAGTAGCAGCAGCAGCAGTAGCAGCAGGAGCAGGAGGAGGAGGAGGAGCAGCAGTAGCAGTAGCGGAATTGCAGTCGTATTCTTCGTAACGGTACCAGCACCTGCAGTGAAAGCGATCTCTTGGTGCTGTCCAGCCTGCTGGTTTCCTGGTGTCTGTTGCTGGTCCGCTAGTGCTTGGGGTTTCTTTGTGGTCTCCTGGTGCTCTCTTGGTGGCCTCTTGGCGGTCCTGGGTCCTGGGATGTCGAGGTTGTCTCCTGGTGGTCTTCGGGTCCTGGTCGATGTCGTCCTGGTCGCAGTGCTCGTCGTGGATGGTAACATGTCGTAAATACTGGAAACAACGCACATGGCACCTAGTTGCGACTAGTGGTTTCACAAGCAATGACATTGTTCGAATGCTTCTGGTATGGTCTTTCACTGTTTAGGGATCTCTGCTGGCATATTGTTGCTATGACTCTCGGCATTCCTAGTACAGTTGCGATAAGCCATCAGTGTCCAGTGCGTTCCATCGAAGGCTTGCCACGCTTGGAGTGCATAGAAGCACTTGCATGCTCACTTGCACTGTCTAATGCTGCAAGGCTTGCAAACTCGGGTCTGCAGAAGTTGAGTTCCGGCTACAGTCAGTCAGGCATTAGCCGCTCCGGCGTCATGCAGATGGATGTGGGTTCAGAAATTCTATCCTGACACCTGAGTGAAGAGCACACACTGAGCCTGAAGGAGCAAATTCTCCATGTCGTTTTTTTGCACTACGACAACCAACGCAGGACTACATGCCGCATGGCCAAGGGCCGACTGCCCCCCGGAAAAAGAAGAGCGACATCCGTTACGTCAGACTCTGTTAGACAGTTAGGTTAGGCATGTAAGAATTTGCTTGTTGCCATGGCCACCACGGTCACGGCCTCCGCTGAGGCCGCGCAGCGTTGGAATTGCTTTGGCGGGTTGCTTGCTGAGAAGTTGATGGGCTTCCTTCCAGTTTCTTCGAAGCACTCGAATAGGAAGCTAAGAGAGCAAGCGAAGCTGGATTCCCTTCGAAGACGAAGTTCCTGACGCTCCGTCGCAGCATTAATTGGCTCTGATTGTTGAGTGAAAACTGCCATTCTATTGGGGGCTCCGCTGAAGACACACATGGCTCAAGACGATGACGCCGAAAATCCCCAAGACAAAATGATGTTTGGGGGAGAAAATATATAAATGGCTCCCCGCCCTACCCTGCCCTGCTCCCCCACCCTTACCCATGCCCTGGGCTGCTCCCGGCGCTGCCCCGCCTCACCTGACCATCTTCTTACTCTGACAGTTGAAGCCCTCCGACCTCGCCTCCGAAAGCGAAACGCCTGTCGCAGGTTGTGCCGCAGACGATCGGGGCTGACCTTCACGAGGAACAGTTGACAGTAATTGCATGTGGTGTGGGTGTGTGTGTGTGTGTGTGTGTGTGTTTGTTTTTGGAGTTCCGCTAGGAGTCCGGTGTTAGCGCTAGTCGTCTTGGTGTTAATGTTCATGTTAGTGTCAGTGTTTCTACGGTATTAGTATGGTGTAGTAGTACAGTAGTAGTCGTCGTAGTAGTAGTAGTAGTAGTGGTGGTGGTAGTAGTAGTAGTAGCAGGAGTAGTAGTAGTAGTAGTAGTAGTAATAATAATTATGATAATTAGTAGGGGTCAGCTGTGGTTGTTCTTGTTGTTGTTGTGGTACTGGTCAAGGTTGCAGCAATAGTGGTGGGAGTGCTGGTGTTAGCGATAGTGTTGACGTTAGCGCTAGTGACAGTTAAGTGTCAGAATTTGCTTTTGTATTTTGGCATTGATGTTATTATTGGACTTGCTAGCGATGTCACACTGTTTGGTGCCCGCCCTCCCAAACGAAAACTCAGCACCCTAGATAACATCCCGCATGTCGACTAGCTAGTATGACGCAAGTCTTACGGATACTGCTGGTATAGCCATGTATCAGCACGAAGTATTCATCGAGGCGCTTCTATATACACCCATTCCGCCTTCAGTCGAAGACAAGATAGGGCCACGAGGTGATTTGATCAACGATGTGCAAAACAGCACGCAAACGCAATGAGCTGGGATCCTGCTGGAGCCTTGCAAGGAACAGCGGTCCGATGGCGAGAATAGCAGCGAGGCAGGTGAGCAGTTCAGACTTAACGTGCACTGCGGGACGTTGCAATGCGCTTCCCAGGCCGACTTGGCTTTGAATGTCGTGCCTTCGGAGAAGAGTGGCCGAGACATCAATCGCACAAGGCGGAAGCATCATGCACACGAGGCACGGGCCTTTGCTGTCCGAATTGCCTTTGCGTGTGTCATGTTGCCACTGCTCTTCCTGTTTCATCGGCTGTTGCTGCAGCAGCAGAGACTGTGTTATACTTTGTGGGGGCGGGGTCACAGCCCGCATTGCGGTGTGAGCCTCTGCTGCTTTTGCGCGTTCGTTTTTGGGAGTTCATGGTTGAAGAACCGCAAAGGGAGGGAGCAGGCCCCATCATTGCCTGTGAGTCTCAGCATTTTTGAGATGGGGCAACGATTCAGGGTTTCGAAAACGGGGAGAAGCCAATCTGGTGTGGACACGGATGTGTTTATTGTTGCGGCAATCCTGGACAGGAGAGACATGGAGAGAGAGTGAGAGATAGAGAGAGAGAAGGCACAGCTTCTTTACACAATTGTGGAATAGTGATGGGGGGAACTCAAAGTGTCAAAGAGAATAGACGTGGATCTACAATCGTTATCGTCTCATTCATAGCTTCAGCCTGCGGATGTGCTATGTTCGTTCTTCACTCCCCTCTGACCAATGAATGCATTGGGGTGGGCTTTTAAGCTCGGGGGCTGTGACAAGTCCCCAAGCCCAGGAGAGAGAGAGAGAGAGAGAGAGAGAGAGAGAGAGAGAGCCCTCCTCGAACTGCCGACCCAACAGTGGAACACCCACGGAGTAGTACAGGCAGTGGGCGATACGAGGGTGCAATACTTTACTTGTCGAGAGAAACACAGCCTGCGTCTTGTTGTAGTGACAATTGCTAGCGTGGATGGTGGGTTAGTTTAACTGAAAGTATCGTTCGTGGCCATTTTGGTCTCAAGGACGATACCCATCTTTTGGGCAAGTCCAAGGAACAGGGTGGAGATTGTCTATGGACCTGGCGGTCGTTCCTTATAGCTCGCCTTTGACCTTCGCCTTTGGCGGGTCACTGGTGGGCTGGGAGGACACCCAAGGGGTACCTGGACTTCTCCTTAGCCTGTGCTTTTGCGTCTGGGTTTTCGGATTCTGCTGCGGTAGTTGCTGGGCACGACCGAGCTCAGCACCCGTGGCAGGCCGGGCCCAGCCGACGCCTGCGCATTCCCCTTTGGACCGGTGGGCACGGATTTCCCAGAGGGCTGTGAACTTCGTTCGGAGCCGGAGGCGGCTCTCCCTGGCCTTTGCCAACCTCGGGAACTACAGCCTCCGCAACACCACCGAGTCCCGCCCGAATCTCCGGAGGAGGGCAGCACGGAGGGCCTCGACGCCTGGGCCCATACTTCACGAAGGCCCCGCTCTTCAGAATGGACCCGACCGACGCGGAGCTGGCGGCGATAGCAGACCTACCGGGAGTGTTCACGTGGGCAGGAGCGACAGGGGCCTTGGAGCGAGCACTGCGGGCGGCATTGGGCGACCCAGCTCGCGTGCGAGAGCTAGCCCTCGTCCCTAGAGCTGCCTGGGACACCATGGTGAGCACCCTGCAAGTGGCAGGACCAGCCGACGCCGACGGCAATCCAGGCCCGCCCCGGGACTTGACCTTGGTCGAAAGAGCCAGGATCGAGTCGAGCCGCCGAGTGGCTTTGCTGCGCATGGGCATCCCTCCAGACGTCCCAGGGGGAGCAAGCCCGCCAGCACCAGCTCCGACAACAGGGCCGGCACCCACGGGGTGCACACCGGCGACAGGAGCGAGGAGGCTGAAGTTGTCGTCCATCCTCGACCCCACCTTGGACGCCGAGGTCTCGCCGCTGGGCGCCGCCGAACTTCAACAACTCTACAAGGACTACAAGGCCAAGTTCGGCGATTACCCCAGCCCGGATGCCGATCCCTCCTCGGATCAAGTGGCGTCGCTGCGCCAGGTGGTGGCCGCGGGAGCTGCACCTTACGCAGATTTCTCGCTGTTCGGGCCTCACGGCCTGCGCCTCCTTCGCAAACAGACGTTCACGAGCTACACCCTGAACGTTGCCACGGGCGAGTGGTCCAAGAAGGAACAGCCGGGCCCCTCGAGCTACCACACGTGGATGGAAGCTTGGAAGGTGTTCCGCACCACGCTCCTCTTGCTGGAGATCGCCGACGCGGAGAGGCTGGACGCCTACGCGGAGCACATCAGGTCGTATGTCACCCAGTTTTCCGACAACTGCTGGTGGCTGATCTACAGGGCGGAAAACCGCCTTCGCTGTGAACACCTCGAACGCATCCGGCGGACCTTGACTGACCGCCCGGAGTTCGGGTTCACTAGCGCACGGCCCTGGAACGCGTGCTTTGCTGCGGCCGTCCGTGACAGCGACTTCTGGACAAGAGAGCTGATCACGCCCGCGACCCTCTGGTTGTCTCAGAGGCAGCCAGGAAGCGGGAGCGACGGCAGCGGCGGCGGCGGCGCTGGCACTGGGCAGCCCAAAGGTCGAGTTGGGCAAGGAAGTGGCGCCGACGATGGCTCCCCGAAGAAGAAGCAAAAGAAGGGGCGCTATGATGGGGAGGACAGGAGCGAGAAGAAGGACGGGGTGTATATCCTCAACAGGCGTGGCGCCAAAATATGTGGTGGATATAATAAGGGGAAATGTGGCAGCAAGAAGCCACAAGGCAAATGCCGAGATGGCTGCAGCCATCAATGCAACATGTGCCTCGGCCCCCCCGCTACGGACTGCAACCGCGCCTGACTCCCCGCCGACCTCGCTGATTCAACGCCCTCTTCGGCGGCAGCCGGGGGTGAGACAGCGGCGGCTCCGCCTGGCACTTCTCATGGGGGGCGGTACGTCAAGCCGACGCCGAAGCGGAAGGCGCAGGCGACGCGAACCAGCAGCTGGTGGACAAGACGGCGCAGTCCAAGGCATCGGGCACCCGACCCTCCGAGCCGTGTCAGCCTCCAGCGCAGAAGCCACCGACGCCGCCACGGGCCAGGCCGGCGATCAAGCGCAAGAGGCCCGATGCCACCCAGCCGGCCATTTCCTCCACAGCCGACGAAAGCCCGAAGGCCAAGGTGAAGAAGCACGCAGCGGCGGCAGCCACGGGCAACAGAACGAAGGGTGCGAGCGGCAAGCTGGCCAGCACCCAAAGCCTCCTGCTTGTTCCCCCGCTGGAGACGGCGTGGCCCGACTACCAGCCGCTGGTCAGGGGCCCACGGCCGTATGGGATGTGGATGGAGCAGCCCGCCGACTCCTTTGTGGAGAGGCCTTGGGCACTCATCCTTTTCAGTGGCCGGCGCCGCAAAGGAGACCTTCCCAACTGGCTGGTGCACTATGGCTTCATGGTGTGCTGTGTCGACAGGGACTCCTCGCCGTCATGTGACGTCCTCGACGAAAGTCAGTGGAACTTAGTCGAACGAGACATCATTGACGGGCACTTCTCTGTGGTGTGGGCTGGCACACCTTGCGGCACCTTCAGCCCGCTGAGGGAGGTCCGCCCGGGACCCCGACCGCTCCGCACGGTTGAGCACATAGAGGGCAAGCCGGACCTCAGCCCGTCGGAGAAGACACAGGTCAAGGAGGCCAACGTGCTGGTGGAACGCACGCATGATGCACTGGTGGCGGCCTGGGACCAAAAGCTCACCTGGGGCTTGGAGAACCCGACCCACGGCGAGAACAAACCGGAACTTTGGCAGATGCCGCTTATCCGCCAACTCGCGGGCCTCGAACGGGTCGCCGTCGCAGCGTTTGACCAGTGCAAGCTCGGCCTGGACACGGTGAAGCCCACCAAGATCCTCTACAGCAGCAACGCCAGTGGCTTTGAAGTTCTGGACGGGCTTCGGTGCGATCACCCTCCAGGATCCCATGGCAGCACCGCCGGGAAGAAGGAGAGGGGCCCGGCCGGCTCCAGGCAGTGGGCCTCCAAGCGCCAGGGTGAATACACGCCCCACCTCTCCCAGATCATCGCTCATTCTCTGTACCAGGGCTTCCGCGTCAGGGCCCTGGAAACGGAGTCCCTTTGAGCGGCTGACCCCACCACGGAGTTCCAGGCCCTGGCGGCGAAGGGCCCGAGGACGGAGAGGGACAGGGAGAACAGCCAGGCCTTGGGCGGCATGCGAAACCCCCGCCGTTCACTCCGCAGGCTGCCCAAGTCGAGAAAGGTGGGTCGGGCCATCCACAAGCTGCTTCGAAGCTCCATGCAGCAGTGGCCCGAGCTGGTCGAACCGGCGCTCGCCATCCTGGAGGGGAGGAAGCCGGAGGAGTTCGACACGGAGGTGATCGGCAAGATCCGGGCAGCCGTGCTCACAACTTTGGGGGCCGACGCGCGGGCCACGACACGCGAGCGCACGGCCCCAGCGAGCACGCCACTTCGGGCCGAGATCTTTGAGGCCTGGGGCAAAGCCACAGACGACCCAGACTCGGCAACACTGGCCGGCTGGCTCGACCACGGGGCGCCCCTGGGCTTAACGGAGGACATCCCTTCCACCGGGGTCTTCCCACCGGTGGTGCCTCGGGACCTAAAGCCCACGAGAAGCTCGACCGCAGGGCTCTTGAGGGCTGGTCCAACTACAAGTCGGCCGAGGAGGAGGCACACGTGCTGGAGGAGCTCATCACCGACTACGAGAGAAGAGGGTTCTGCACGGTGGTTTCCACCCTGGAGGAAGCCATCGAGATCTTGGGCGGCCCGCCCGTCCTCAACCGACTCGGCGTCCTGGTGAAAGAAAAGAAGGATGCACAGGGCAACCTTGTGCGAAAGGCCCGGGTCATATGGGACCTGAAAGAGTCACAGGTGAACAAGGCGTGCAACCAGGGAGAAAGGATTATCCTCCCTAGGCTTCTGGACGTGGTTGCCTCCCTCTTGGCGGCCTATCGGAGGGGCCGGCCACCCTTCCTGGCGTGCATCGACATCCGGGACGCCTTCATGAATATACCAGCCGGGAAGGACCGGCGCTTCACGGTGGCGGCCGTCCCTCGGAAGCGGAACCGAGGCAAGATGCACAAGCTGGTGTTCTTTAACACGTTGGTGTTTGGATCGGCGTCCTCACCAACCGTGTGGGGACGCGCCGCAGCGTGGCTTGGAAGAACGACGGCAGCCACGGGGCCAGCCGACACCCAGGTGTACGTCGATGATCCGGTCTTCGTTCTGGACGGGCCGCACTTGAAGGTCGCCGCCTCGGACCTGACGGTGGCCTTGCTTTGGGCCGCCGTTTCAGGCTACCCCGTCAAGCTTTCGAAAGCCTGTGGTGGCAAAGACTTGGAATGGGTGGGCGCGAGGATCCGGTGCGTCGACGCGGAGGAGGCGGTGATCGTGACCCTGCCGGCCTCCAAAATTCAGGCCCTCCTGCAGGACACCGACAAGTTCCTGGGCCGATCAGTGGTGGGATCAAGGGAGCTACGCTCCTTCACGGGGGCCCTCTCTTTCGTTGCGGGCCTGGTGCCGCACTTGCGGCCGTTCCTGGCTACTTTCTGGGCGGTTTTGACCAGGCATGATGTGACGGGTGAAGGTCGGCATGCTTTGTCGACCCGAAGGCTCATACATGTCAGGCGGATCCGCCCGGCACTCTGCTGGGTTCGGGCGCTACTAGCCGGAGGCCCCACCATCGAGAAGATCTTCTACGCCAACCCGCCCAAGGTCGACCTGGAGATCGTCACCGACGCTTGCCCATGGGGGATGGGAGGAATAAGGAGAGAAGGGGGGCGTCCCACGGCCTACTTCTACCTCCACATCTCAGACGACGTCCTCCGGAAATTCGGGGCAGAGCGGGGCCTGCCGAAATACAACACGCTGTGGGAAGGACTGGCCCTTCTGGTCGCCTTCCGCTTGTGGCTGCCTTCCCTCGTTCACGGCGCCACTTTTCGGGCCAAGTCGGACAACCTCGGGTTCCTCATGGCACTTGCCAAGGGAAGCGCAAGGTCGGCGGACCTCAATGTGCTTGCTCGAGAGTTTGCCTTCGACCAGGCGACACGGGCCTACCACGTGAACGGTTTGGTCCACATCCCCGGCGTCACGAATGTGCAGGCGGACGCCCTTTCTCGCCAGTTCGCTCCGGAGGCAAAACGCTTCCCAAAGGAGCTGCTGGAGGTTCCTCGTGACGAGGTCCTCATCAACGATCACTTCTGGAAAGTGTGAGTAAAAGGTTCGTTGCCTTGCGGGTTCATGTCTCCTTCTCGCTCTCCCCCCGCTCGTTTGCTCTCTTCTCCGGGGTTGTGCTGTGCCGTTTGGTCACGCGCTTCTGCAGATGCCGCGGCCCAAGAGATCGTACGCGGTAGCCTTCCGGCCCTTAAGTAACCCCACCACGCTTCGAGACCCACCGAGGGCACCTGGCATTCTTCACGAGGGTCCTGCCCTAGGGCGGCCCGACGTGGGTGCGGGAACCCAACCGGGGGGCTTGGCGGGTGCAGGGCCAGAGGCAGTAGCTAGAAACAATGGGGAGCCAAGTGCATATCGTCGGGGGTCGGCGGCACTGGCCATGGAAGCTTTAACTGACCCCGTTCATTGCCGTTCGGTTCTGCTGGCCGACTCTAGAGCGACCACCTCCATTGGACCCGTTGAGTCTAGACTCAGGCAATGGGTGGCTTGGTCAGTGTGGGCAGGGCTCGAGCCTTACCCCCTAACACCCGACGGAATGTACATCGTCATGGGTGGGCTCAAAGAGGCAGGCTACCGCTCAGCGATGCAATACCTGGACCTTGCCAAGCAAGAACACGTCCAGAAAGGACACCCATGGACGGACCAGTTGGCCCTAGCGTATCGGGTTTGCTCGCGCTCCTGCAAGCGAGGGCTTGGTCCAGCCAAACAGGCGGCGGCCCTCCCGCTTGACAAGCTGGCCGGGTTGGACCAGTCACGCTGTCAAGTCCCCTCGGGACCGGCGAGGCCAGTCTCCTCCACTATAGTGGCGTCCTGGTGGCTTTTACGTGAGCTGGAAGCGTCCCGCGCCAAGGTTCGGCACATTACCCTGGACTTCGGGGCGAAAGTAGCCGCGTGGTTGCTACCGTCGTCCAAGACGGATGTGGCAGCGCTTGGGGCCACCCGCAAGCACTCTTGTTCCTGCGCCGTTTTACATCCAGACCTTTGCCCTTTTCACACCCTAGCGTCTCTGGTACAGGGAAAACAACCGGAAGATCCAGTTTTTGTGGACCTGGATGGATGCCCACCATCAAAGCATGGGTGGGCCGACACGTTCCAACGAATCGCGGCTCTGCTGGGTCTCCCGTTGTGCCATCACAACGGAGCTCGGGCTTTCACTGGCCACACGGCACGCGCTACAGGAGCGCAGTTCCTAGCCTTTAAAGGAATCGAAATTTGGCGCATCCAAATTTTTGGGAGGTGGGGAAGCGAAGTGATTCTCCGGTACGTCCGCGATGCCCCTCTAGCACAGCTGAACGAGTTGGCCATCGAGGCTGGCGACAGGGAAACCTTAGCCAAGATTCGCAGCGATCTGGACAGGCTTATGCGGGAGGCCAGACCTTCACTGGCAATCCCCGATTCCAGTTGGCACTTTGAGTGCCAGGTCAGGGGCGCGCCGGCGTCAGGCCCGGCGGCCATCCACACTAGCACGGCCAAGGCCCTCGTCCTCAATACGGCTCGGGGTGGCAAGCTTCACAAATGCCTTAGCGATTTCAGCTCACCCCAGGTGGCGCTGAACCCGAGCTCGTGGCGTACCTGTTGTCTTTGGCCCTTCGCGTCAGGCGACAAATCCTTTCAATGGGTGCCTCTCCGCCATAAAGGCAGGAGATGCAAACATTGCTTCCCCAGCCAGAGGCGGGCTCCGTCGGAATCGGAGTCAAGCTCCTCTTCCTCTTCCAACTCGAGCACAAGCTCGAGTGACTCTTGATACCGAAAACAACCGCGCTAAGCAGGCGGGACGGATATTTATTTGGCAGTTGTTGGTCAGGTCATGCGGGTATCTTCTGCCCACTTGAGTTTGTCCAAGGGCCCTATCGGCTCCTTTTGGACATAGCAAGCGGAGCGACCTTTACGACCAACTGTTGAAAAGTCCGTCTGCTTCGCTTAGTAGATGGTGGTTGTTTGGGGAGCGGATAGCAATTGTCGAGAGAAACACAGCCTGCGTCTTGTTGTAGTGACAATTGCTAGCGTGGATGGTGGGTTATTTTAACTGAAAGTATCGTTCGTGGCCATTTTGGTCTCAAGGACGATACCCATCTTTTGCCCACCCGCCCACTCCGGGGTATCTTCTGCCCACTTGAGTTTGTCCAAGGGCCCTATCGGCTCCTTTTGGACATAGCAAGCGGAGCGACCTTTACGACCAACTGTTGAAAAGTCCGTCTGCTTCGCTTAGTAGATGGTGGTTGTTTGGGGAGCGGATAGCAATTGTCATGGAACTTTCGGGGCGTAGACTACAGTATCGCCGGGGAGTGCTTGTTGTTCCCGCATGTAACACACATGCATACAACCAACAGACGGGCGGCTCCCGCGCTGGCTCGCCCTCAGGCCCGGAGAAAGAAAGAGCCCTCAACCTCCCACCACAGACCCCAATGCCGCCTTCCACCAACAAGGCAGGAAGGGGGGGGGCCTAGGCCCGGGTCTGCTCGCAGACTCAACCCCAGCAGCGAGCGAGCGAGCCCTCATGCCCGGAGAAAGAAAGAGAGAAGAGGGTGAGCGTGAGTGTGTGCGTTTCTACTTGTGGGATGGAGGTCTGTGGCCGGACCCTTATGCTCTAATTAGAGAGGCAGAGACACAGAGTAGATATACATGCATAAAATTTATGCATGTGCACATTTATGTATATATATTTATATATATATATATATAGATATGTGCATACACAGACATACATACATACATGTATATATATATATATATGTATGTAGGTATACAGAAACATGTGCCTACATGTACATAAGATACACGCATACATGTGTACATATATGTATATATGTGTATATACATATATATATATACATACATACATATATACATATACATGCACCTACACATATAGTTGATTACAATTACACAAGATGTATGTGTGTACATGCATGGGTGCTCGTACAGGAGTTCGCTTGTGTGAGACAGACAGTGGGTCGTCCTCGGCCCTGTAATTCAGGAAACCCTCGCAAAGGACGAGGGAAGCTTCGACAGCCCAGAACTGAGTTCCAGCTTTTGGTGACTGAGTCCTCGTGGCCGCGGGTTCATGTAGCTTGTCATGCCAGCTGTCCCAAAGCCATGGTCACTTGATCCAAAGTGCGAGTTTCAATCTGCATGTGTGCTCCACCATGAAGTCTTCAATAAACAACTACGTTGTAACTACGTTTTCAACCCTGGAGAGACGTGAATCCAGACCCATGTTCACAGGCGACGAGGAGCAGGAAGAAGCGCGGTTGCTCGAAGAGGCCACCATATTGCATCTTCCTCTTTCTCCTTTGGGGTTTCCAGCTCGGGCGTCCAGGTACGGAGAATTCCTGCACAATCACATGTAGACCTGTTCCTGATGCCTCATGCAGCCATCATGCAGCCAAATGGATCAATGGCTGGCTTACTGGCTTTACTGGATCCGCAATGGCATCGTATAGTGGCCATAACATTCCAAGCTATACGTAGGCTCATCAGATGTTGCAGGGTTTCGGATCGAGGTGATATCGAGAAACCTGACAAACTGCATACGACGCCCTCCTTCGGCATATCGGTTTGAATACACGGTAATGTTGTGTGTCCATAAAAAGTAAAATGCACACACCTGTATGTACATGTGTATATGTGTGTATATATATGTATGTATGTATATGTATGTATGCATATGTGAGTTTGTGCATGGATGGATGGATGGACGGACGGGTGTATGTATATATGTATGTGGTGCAGCCCATTCCGACCTGTTAGACAAACTTTGTCCATGTCATGTATCCAAGCCAACAACGACAATTTCCTTCATAATAATTCAGTATGTGTCAGTATTCATACTCAAACAGGGCCGGGACCCAAGAGCAAGATGCCTCCGAAAGTAGTTTCGCTGTTTTTCAGTCCTTGATCTTTTGTACTGTCTGGGTACCAGGATAAATCAGCAATTATGCTGAGATGGGGCAGGAGTTTAATTCTGAGATGGGGCCTCGGGCCAAGCTTTCAAACGAAAACATTTCAGGGCATCTTGGCTTAAAGACAACATGTTGTCTTTCTTGTCGCTGAAGTTGAAACGGGGTCTGAGTGATCGACCAATGTGCAAACATGTGATAACGAGCTTATGTATATAGTGTGCGATGCTACAGTCAGTAGTGAAAGCTGTCTTCAAATCATTTCCGTTTGAGACGAATTGTCATCGATAGGTAGTATATGATGGACTGAGTTTTGTATTCAACTTTTGTGTCAGGAATGTTTACCCATCTAAACTAAGCTGCTGTAAATTAAATGCTCAGCTCCATCGGTAATATCAACAAGCGCTCAGTAACTATTAATAATCGAAATTCTGTCAGGTCCTGATGAAGGATGAGATGACGGCCAACTAGATAGTGTTGAAGCACGGATTGCAACTTTTTGCACATATACAACCAAGCATAGTCTTGTTGAACGCCTATTTGACAGACATCGAATATGCAGTAAGTTTTCTTCTGTATTGTCCCAACGGCAAGGAATGGTGCGTAGATAGCTGAATGAAAGTTCATGGACTTTTGCTTAGACATGAGGCAAATCTCAGCTAAAAGTTGCACCGGTGATCAGCTTGTGTTGAAAAGCACTGGATGAAGACCGCTCAGCGTCTACTTTACTACTGCAACAAAGTTTGAGTTAGCTTCAAGCCGTTGAACAAGATTGTTTACGCGTCTATCCACTCAGGCGTTTCGAAACCTTGTATGGTCCTTATGTAAGCTGCAACTGGTTTGCGGTCGCGGGAGGGGTGAGGTTTTAAGGGGCGGTTGTAGTAGTGGAAGCCGTAGCAATATACCATGTACAAGTAGCCATATAGTTGAGCAAAGCCGTGTTTCAAGGCTGACAATTTCTAGAAGCAGGTGTATTCCGTCGTGATCTCGACCGGGAAAGCGTGGATAGCCCGGAGGAGTAGCTATCATATATATATATATATATATATGTATACACACATATATACACATACAGCATACACAGACATACTGTGTATATGTATATACATATATACATATACATAGGTATATACACTTACATGCACAGGTTCTTTCCGGTTCGGTCTTCCATGGAACCATTCATTGGTTTGCCTGCTAGAGTTGTGAGAGTTTCGCAGCTCTTTCTCGGCGCAGGCGAGCGGGGCCAAGACCCACGCTCAACATCACGCTCAGGAGGACCTGCTCTGAGTTGTAGTTGACATCATTAGCCCTATTCCACCTTGGACCTGGGAAGGGAGGGGCATGGAGAGAGTGACGCAGAGACTTACGGCCAATATTGCACATGCACACCATACACCACCGGGTAGAGACACAAGTGACACAAGTGCAGACATGCGTGCATCGCGTGAAGCTTCTATGGATATGGAGCTGTTAATAAATCAGCCGCTAGGCGGAACGCGTCAACTTGGAATGTCTGAATTCTCATCGTGCTTGCTGGTGCCACACTTGAGGGACCCAAGGCAAGCAGTGGTTGTCCAACAACACAGATTTAGACCCTAGGCTGCGGAAAGATTGGAATTGCGAGCACGCACTCGCGCTCATGCGTGCCGCAGACAGGCAGAGATTCAGACGCACATGCACACACCTGGAAGCGTGAAGGATGTGCTACTAACATAGCAAGGACATATGTACACAAATAACTTCAAAGACGATCACAAACTGTTAATATTGAAGAGTGACGCATATGCACATGCACAATGCACTTGCTCAAGACCACATCATTGCATCACAGGAACTCACACCCAGCGGCGTGATCATCAATCGGCCACGTACTGCCAACAGTACGTAGGTGTAGCTGTACAGTCGTATAGTTCTAACTAGATATACGAAACCACAAACGTAACATGTGTATATGTAAATACATATACATACCGTCATGTGTTTATGTAGATACAGTCTCAGACAAGCTTGGTACGTGCTGAAATAGGGACCCACAAGAAAGACACTCTTACCTTTAGAAATACTTGGATGATGAGACACCGACCAAAAGCGGCGGCACAAGCTTGGAGGCAAACAACCCTATCTCAACAACCAGAAGTCTTCGTCCCAGTCGAGACCGTGGCTAACACATGATCTGCATACACTTTGCACCCATGTGCTGACAACTTTGCTCGAGCACTGTTCATCCGTCCACGCATGCATGCATACGTGCATGTTTCGCCGCCGTTGCATGAGTGCAGAGGAATGAGCAACTTATTTCAGAAGAGTTGCGATCATAACGTATTTGTGTGTCAAAGCACTTTGCCACACTGCAGATGCCAGGACCATGCGAAGATGACCAGAAAGGACGCAGCCACTAATCTCGTGCATCTCGCCAGCAGAGATGTTCAGACTGTTTTTTGCGCGATCCTTTGTGCCCTTCGCGTCCGGCGTCATGTGGGCTTAAGTGTATCAGCCCTGTAAGACCTGAGACATGCTCGGCAGCCTGGTGCCCAGGACCTGTATGGTGGGTGCGAGCGTGCTGAGCCTGCCTCGCATGGTGGCGAACAATGGCTGGGCGTGGGCCCCGGATTGTCTCTTGCCGAAGTCGTAGAAGAGAAATGTTCTGTACAGCAGTTTCAGCAGCATGTCGCAGTTGAGAGGGTGCGTTGAAGCGCGAAGTGCTTTGCCTTTGTGATGGTTTATCGATCTTTCACCTATGGGAATCCAGAGCGCTCGCAGTGCCCAGACCGAGCAGCTCGTTGCAGGTGCTGGGTCCAGCGATGGTTGTCTTTGCCGGGGCGGTGTCCTACCACGCTTGCATGCTTGCCCCAGCCTTGTGAGTCAAGCTTTCGGTGGGCAGATGGACTTGTGAGTATGACTTACTGTCGGAGTTGGACAGGGCAATAGGAGTCATTCAGTCGGCGCTGTCAGCACAGAGGTTTTCCTTTCAGTGAAGTTCTCTTTACCGCAGGTCTTCTTGCTTTGCGATGGGAGTGGGACGCCATTGCGAGTTAATTCGGCAAGCCGGGTCATGCTGAGTCCATGAAAAGATATGCACATGTGTTCGGCAGCAGGCGCAGATCTTCGTACCATAGCATGAACATGGACTCAAGCACTTTGTACATGATCCCCCGTGCCACGAGCCTCCGACTCCTTCGAATTGCTATTGGCATGCTTCTTGGTCTTGCGTCGAATCATTGCCAGCTTAGACCTGTTAATTAATGTGCCTGGTGATAGGGAGCAAGGCAAGTGCCTCGGTAGCATCGCATGCCATCTTCCCGGCTGTGAAGAGGCTCCCAAGCTACAGTATCTGAAAAAACAGATCTTTAAACAAGATACTCAAAACAAGAAATAAGATATTTAAATAAGACAAATCTATCTGATTGTCATCAGTGTCAGTGGTTGTCTACTGCTTGTTCATTCCTGGCTTCTGGCAGTCTGAGGTGGACCGCGCACTCGAGGCCATTGCTGTCGCGCATGGCACGCATCCCAGAAATATCGGCCACCTGGCCGCAATCTACTGCCGCTGCTTGTGCGGCTAAGAAGCGATCGCGTTGATGTGTTCATGAAAAGGATGCAGCAAGCACCGGGAGTTGGCTTGCTTCGGGGGTCCTACACCACAGAGGATACCGCTTGATTAGCATGCTTGGGAATTTATGCTATTCTCCTTTCTATGGGTGCTTGCCCTGGGGGCCAGTTGGCAAGCCGAGGGGACGTCGTCCAGGACCGGCTCTATCCATGGATGAGTTGTGATCCCTGTTGTTGCATCGAGGCATTGGCTGCTGCAGCATACTTGGAATATCGTGTCCTGATGCAGTGATGTAGCAGTCCCGTCCCAGATAGTTGCCTCGAAGCCTCGTTGTGAATTTCTTCCGCTGCTTGTCAGCTTGAGAATTTGGTACATCCCAAACGGCATCCCAGAATGCCTGTGAGGGTAACGACGGGCTTCCGGTGGAGACACTTCATGATAGACCCAACGATGTCGATGACCGTGCCAGCATTATAGGCATAGGCCTACGACGTGTTTCGAGTCGAGTCGGCAATGTTGTACAATGGCATTCCTGGAGTCGGGAGCACATTAAGCCGCAGGTGTGCAACCTGGCCTTTTCCCGCCACAAGTGGCACTCTTTGGTCGTTTGTGTGTAGGGGCCTGCACGAATACTGCCTGTTTGTGCAGGGTAAATAGCCACCAGGGTTCGCACAAAAAGTGCAGGTAGATAGTTTTTGTTAATGTTGCACGAACGTGTGTTTCTTGATGTGCTGTGTTTTCTTCCCAGCGTAAGCCGGTGTAGATAAGACCTCAATAAGCACACTGAGCAATACTGTAATCTATGAAACCTATGAATGGTTGAACCCATTCCAGCCTGCATATCAGGAAGACGCATCGTGTACTGCGGGGATATGACCTCGATCTAGCATTTACTCCATTGCCTTTCGCCAGGAATGCTTCGGCCAAAGTGGCAGACGTGTAGCTCTTTGGCTCGACAGCTCACAACAGCTATTCGTGTGGTGCACGAATGGTTTACCAATCTGGGAGGCCCGAGCCGTCGCATGCCGGAAGTGGAGCTGAGGTTCTCATTCTGACTGGCGTCTTCCAAATCAGCGCCTTTTCGAATGCTAGTGGTTGCATGGTGATGTCACTTGTTGGCTCATGCCGCGAGCGATCCGCAGTACCGACTTGCGGCAAGATGCGGAAAGATGGACTTAGCCAAAATCAGGCAAGTGCGGCGTGTACTTCGTCGTGATTGGCACTAACCTCAACTACATCGCTGGCTGGGTCTCGCAGCGTGTGTGGGCGGTAACAGGCTGGGCCGGTCCCGGGGGGAGTGGTCATGTACGCAACCGCAGCTCAAGAGTTCGAGGCGCGGTTCTGTGCATGCGATTAATCTTCGTGCGGGACATCACGGTGATTTCTAGATGGCATGGACCCCGACTGCTGCATCGCACTAGGCTGAAATGTTTCTTCTTTCGCCGCAACTGGTCGAAGTGTGGCCCAGGTCTGTCATTGGCACGCTTGGGTGCACTTAGAATGAGCTAAGGGCTTGGCATTCTTGCGGAGTACAACTGAGGTGTGGTGGCATCCATATGCTATCTTTTCACCATCACGGCTGGAGGCCGGCACACAGGGCTGGTTTTGTGGAGGGGCGCAGGCGGAGTGCTAGTACAAGGAAACTTCCCATAAACCACAAGTCCTAGCTGGACTCTCATCAGGCCGTGCCTGCCTCGTGCGAGTGTGCGTGTCGAAGCCCTTAGAACCTTGCGACGTTTGTTCATGGCGATGTCAGGGCGGGATGGACGCAATTGGTCTTTGGCAAACTTTCAATCACTCAGTGGCATCGTGGTTTGGCTTTCATGTTTGACAGGCTTTCATGCTGCAGGGCGTCCTGGTGAGCACGGCTCAGCAAGGACTGGTTCAGTCAAACAGTTTGCGTTCTGTTTCTGGGCATGTGTTCACTGTTAGACCTGTTTCTGAACGCACGACCGACGCTGGCAGATGGCCTGAGAGCTACAGCGATGTTTTGGCGGATTTTGTTGGAGGCTGAGAGTCGCCAGATGTTGGACGAATCGAGGCGTGATCTTTCTGGGTTCCCTCAGAAACTAACAATTTGTCGAGCTGAGGCCGTCATGGTTTATGCATATTCTCCAGCAGACGTGCTGCCAGTCATGAAGCACGACATGAAGGATGGGCATTATTTGAGAGCTTCAGGCTTGGTACATCTCAGTGTCCTGACATGTCATGGCTCTCTGTGAATGTGATGATTGCTTGCAGGAGCCGCAGCAGTTGCGCTGGGCTTTGCGAATGTGGCTCGGCTAGCGGCTAGCAGCTACACACTCTTTTCCGAACATATTTGCTTAGATTGCTTTGGGTTCACATACGTTTGACAAAATGAGGACGACCCTCCGGCCCGTAGGCAAAGCCTCCGCGGCCCAGATCCTTTCTCGCCGTCACCGGCATCTATGTCGGGCTGGGCTGTGCAGCTGACCTTACACTTGGATGGGCTTTGAGTCGCTACGCATCTGTCGATCATGTTGCTTCAAGATCTCGCCCGAACGGTAGCTCAGACAGACATTCTAAAGCATCCGGATCTTTTCAAGGCTCACGGTTTGCAGGATGTAAAGTGCAATTGATCGCGAGGGCTTGTCCAACCATGGTCAATGGTCACTAACGTCAAGAACGGGTGCGTGTTTTCAAGGAAGGTTGTATGCAGGTTAAGTTATACGTATGGATAATTTGCGGATGTCCTTACATCAACAAGTCAACAAGATGTTGAGGTGGCTTTCCTCGGTTGGGGCGAAGATGTTTCCGGCAACATTTTGAGTCGGCCTCAGTGGGCATCCTGGGTTTGGAGTGTTTGGGGTTTGCCTTGTACGATGTGGCTTGTATCATGCAAGCCGACACAGGGCCGTGCAGCGATTGACGCTGCCAAGATTGCATGCCGGAGATGCGCTGACGGATTTTCGAATTCAGGCAGACACCAAGCTAGGCTCAGGTCCACCCACTCCAGCTAGACTCACTTGCATGATTTTTAAGGTTCCCAATCTTGTGTTGAGCAGCCAATATTTGGCCTGCAGCTTGCTCTTCGTCCTGGCAGTTCTTCAGTTGCTTGCGATGGTTTGTACCTCTAGGTCTTGCTGATTATTGCGACTGCTGCTGCTTCAGGTACTGAGTATTGTCGACTATCATCACGTTAAATTTGCCACCACAATTGTTCTCCTCGAGCGGCACAGTGGCTACTCTCTGCTTCAGTGCGCAGGAGTTGGACACGAAAATATGCTCAGAACCGCGCAGATCAAAATGCTTCATGTTAGGTCCAAGACATGTCCCGTTGTGCCTTGAAAGGCTTTCCATGTGTGAGCGCCCTGGCTGCCCTGGGAGCGTCCCGGAAACCGAGACCCCGGGGCAGAAGCAACTGGGATTGAATCGGCTTCATCGGAAGGTCATTGCAATCAGGATCCCAGTGTGGAGGATCCCCAAATATGCACAGAAGCACCAATGCCCATCGGCGTGGCGTTGGCCCATCTCTAGACAAGGGTTGCAAGCTTTTCCGGTAGGTTTACGAGCGGACAGCGAAGGAAGCAAGCGCAGTGTCAGTGAGTATGGGACAGACATGGCTAGAAATGGCATGTCACAGTGGGGAACCGTGCCGTCTGTTCTACAAACTGGCTGCAAAGCAAGAGCTTGTCGAAAAATCGCGAAAAAAGCATCCGACATCTGAGAGGAGGGGGGGGGGGCAGGGCGGGCAAGAAATTCTTACAAAGCGCGTCCAGGTTTCGGCTGTTGAGCACACACATGGAAAATGGTTTGCTTTGTATGAGGGTGTGAAAATTTATGATCGGATGTGCATCAGAAGCAGAAGGCTTGATGATGTGGGGCGACAGCTTTATTTATAGCGTCCGAATAAGTTTCCTGCTGTTCTTGCTCAGGTGGATGCTTGGATCCTCAGATGCAAGGAGTTTCAAAAGGTATTCCAGGGTATTTTGCCAGGCTTCTGTAACGGTTCCTCCTGAGGTTCGACTTTGCATGACAGATACGGAAAACACAGCTTGTTCATGCAATGTCAATTGTTCATGCAATGTCAGGATATCTTCTGGCTTGCGCTGTGGTCTCCAACCTCATGGTTACGGCTCCAGTGGTTTTGCCCCTGGGCTGCAGGTGACATTTGCGTGTGCATCTGCTACAGTCTGGACATGAGTCAAAGGTTGTATATGAGCAGTCGTGCACATTCTTGTGAACCCACTCTCAGCCTTGCAAGCCTGGCTATTGCAATCATTACGAACTTAATTAGTGGTATTGACATTCCAGGTACTGCGTTTTTCGAGTTCTCGAAGCCGAGCACTCCCATTTGCTGTCCAATGCCGTCGTCAATGGGAGTCTACGCGTCGTGGCCGTGTGCCTGGGCTGTCGGGTTTGAGTTTGAGGTTCCGACGTCAGACTGTTGCTACAATTGTGATTGTGGTTTGCTACCAATATCGATGGGTGAGTAGTGCTAGTAGTACGACGGCCACCCGTAATTATGTTTACTTGTACGAATTCTGTGTATCAGGTTTGTTCAGTTTTTTTGACTTTCAAGTGTTCGCGGCATGAGCACCGTCCCAACGACACATTGATATTGCCCGTATTCTTGCTTTGGCTGTTCCGAGAGCCGGGGCTTAGAATCCGGATGGCCGTGGGTTCATTGCAACCATTGCAAACGAAAGATGTTCTATCGAAAGCCCGACGGCAACTCGTTTTCAGAACTTCTGAGCTTGGATCAAGGATGGCCTGGGCGAAAGGTTGTAACAGTAGTTCTCCCGAGAGGCAGGCATCGGAAGATGCCTCTTGATTGAAACCACTCAGGATGGGTGCTCTGATGGTGGCCTTGTTCATGCCATACTTCACGGAAGTTCTGGCCGTCCCGTGCCTGAAGTGTTTTGCAGACTGGAGAGCAGGCTTGAGGGAAGGCTGGACTGTTTCAGCATGCACAGAGAGACCAAGATCTCGACCCAGGTGATCTCCACTGGTTTGTTAACGATTCTTCAGGTCTTCGTGCCGGCCTCAGCAAGGCTGCTTCAACCTTCTTTGTGTGTGACGTCTTGTCGCTACGTATCCTCGCGGCTTGCTCCTTACAAACATCATCAAACAACCTCGTGAAGAGTGTCATCCGGCACAGTCCGAGTTTCCCCCAGCCACTCTGAATGGACAAGAATCCAGCGCCAGAGCCCCTCAAAGCTCTTCCCAGGTGCCCGTGGCGGTGACCTTCGGCCTCAGTCGCCAGGGTGCCGTGGCCTTCGGCCCGGCAGAGTTTTTGCTGGGACTCCTGGGTTTCGGCCGCTCGGCGGGCAATCGAGCTCAAGAGCGTAGACGTATGTTGAGCATTGTTGAGCTAAGCTCCTCAAGTCAGTCACGTTCTCAATGTGACATTTGTTCTTGCTCACTGCTTCCTGCTTGCATCCCCCCCCACGCTTTTTGCAAGGCATGTTCACTGTGGGGATGCCCGCTGCTCAGTCGGGTCTCGGAGGCAAATCTGGCTGGACCCTGACCGAATGCTTTTGTTTGGTGCAGCACGTCCCCCGACATGCAAGCAATGACAACAAGCTCCCGGACAGAGCTTTGTCCAGGCAGACATGTGAATGAGGGGATTGTCCTGGTGGCATGTGGGGGCTGGCTGAGGTCCAGTGCATTGCGCAACCTACATGAGGCACTCACCGGCAGTTGACCTAGGAAACCTAGTCAGCGCTAGGGAGTGACTAGTGCCCCGTGAGCGCGACCAAGAGCTGCAAAAACAGGGGAATCGGTGTCGTTTTGCATAATGACTCTCCCTTCGTTCGCTGCTTTCGGACAAGTTCTTCCAGAACATCGCACCTTCTTGTCCATAAGTTGATGCATGTGCTTTGATAGCCGTTCCTTGGCTGTCTCACAGCAGCCGAAACGGCATCCAATCTGACCACCCGTATGCACCGATATGCTGCTTGGGGAAGAGAGCGACAGCGCAAGCCGAATGCCCGCTTGTCAACTTAGCCAAGTAACCAGCAGGTTCAGGATTTCTTTGAGACCCATTGAGTGGATTCGATGGCATCCTGTGGCATGCGGAGCAGACAATGAAAGCTTCATGAAGACTGCCGCGGATTGAGGCCTGCGAAGGGATAGTTGATCCTGGATCGACTCATTTGAGGTTCTCGAGATGCACAGTTCCCTTGACCCAGCTAGCACTGCACGTGTCCGAAAAACCCCACGCGTTATTGTCGATTTGCCCGTCAGGGATGCCCTTGGGCTTCCTGGCACCGGCATCGCCTCGAACTCCAGGCGGCGACATTCGACGTGTTTTGAAAGCTGTGGCATCTCGAAATCTTAACAAGTGTCTACAAATTCTGCAACAGAGCTTCCCATGCCTGCCCTCCCTCCTGCAAGCCTCACGTTTGCACAGGGACCGGAGCATCAAGCCCACAAAAGCTCCCAGCCGGCAGCTCAGTTTAGCACTTTCGTTGCTCAGGGATGCACGGTAGCTCTGACCAGGCTGACTTGCTGCCGTGAGCAGGATTGTTGTTGATTTATGACGGATTCCACAGCTTGGCCGATGACTGCCGCATGAGAGCAATGCATATGGGCAGGAGTCGTATTTAGCAACTTTCACAAACTCAACCCTTCAACCGCCCGAACCTCCAGAAGCTGAGCTCCAAAGCGCGGTGTCGACATCCACCTCCAGAACGGTGTTGCCGATGTTTTCTAAGTCTTTATGGCAGGTCAGCCCTGCTGAGCTCAAAGCTCGCACGGAGCATGCCAGGCTCCGAATAAACATGTGTGTGTGTGTGTGTGCGTGTGCGTGCATGCATAGATACAGCGTATACAGGTTTAGAAATAGATATATCCACTGGGAATTTACATGTTTTTGCATATGCACGTGCGCACACACACAGACACACTTAATGTCGGACCTTTAGCAGGACTTGCTAGCACTTTCGGCTTGATGTTTTCCCCGAGTATAATATGCGATTGTTCGTTGCATATTGCGGGGGCAGCTGTAGCGGTGGCAGTAGGAGTGGTGATCGCGGTGGTGGTGGCGGTGGTGGTGGTGGTGGTGGTGGCGGTAGTACTAGTAGTGGTAGTAGTAGTGGTGGTGGATTTCGTTCTGTGTAGTGTATGAACTTTCCCGATTCAGAATCTGTGCAGCCCTGCTTTTAGCAGGGAGCTGGGTGATCGACTCGCTGCAGAGGCGCCGGTTGTTGAGTGCAGATCCGCGCATCGTCACGGGCCCTTGCATCCCATAGGCTTTTGGCTCACGTCTCCCTGTCCGTTGGTCTCCCATTTGCATGTCTCGTGTGTTCTTCGCTTTAGCTCTACCTGCACGTCCTCAGCGGCAATGTTTGAGCGCGGGTGGCTTTGTGGACTGTTGTGGAGTCAGTACATACTAGAAGCATCTAGAAGCATAAAATGTACGGCTCGCTGCGGAGTTTGATTTGGCAGAATTGCTGATTGGGCTTGCGGTGTGCAGTTTTTGCGTTAAGCCCATGTTCAAAGGTGTTGCGATGAACACTGTAGACCACCCAGGCAAACCCTCCTAACACACCTGATTGATAAGGACTCACAAAGCATAGTCGTTTGTCAAATCAAATGGAGTTTCCGAAAATTAGTGGAATCGTATTTTGGGGCTTATAATAAGAATCCTACTATTTATAGGGTACTGTATTAGGGCCCCTATTTTCGGAGGCTCCCAAATATCGACTTCATGGACTCAAGTTCAGCTTCTCGGCAGGCTTGGGCGAGTGCCGACCGGCTGCTGCTGCTCTCCGGTTGCAGCTGGTTCAGGTTTCAGGGATATGAATCTACTACCCCAAAAATAGTAGGATACTTTTTGTTTTAAGGACTCCAAAACAAGGTACCCCCAATCTGCGGCTCGGAACAGTTGGTACTTGTATGATGATCCTGATGCAGTCTTCGGAGTTGAAATCGGGCTGGGGAGCAATTTCAGGTCAGGCGGTTTCCGGCATTCCCTCGTGTGTCAGGCAGCAAGCTTGCGCTTTGGCCAGGCATAAATGCCTGTTGACACTTCTGGGGTAGCCACATAGCGCAAAACAGCGGTATCTAGCTCTGCTTCAGAAACCGCTACTTCACACCATTTTGTCAGTTCTGCTCCACTCTACAAGTTTTGAGCGCAGGCAAGCACAGAGTAGGATTAGCATTCGACACCCTCCAAGGCTTGACCCGACGGCGCTAATCATTCTAATCCAGAGGTTTTTCGAGTCCACAGGCGGAAGTCTCGGCTTTCGTCAAGCCCAAACCTCTTGTACTAGGCTGTTGGGAAATCTTTCTTCAAGCACCCCGACTCCAATCCCTAAACCCTAAACCCTGTGTGCCTGCCTTGTGCGAGTGTGAGCGCCGAAACCCTAAACCCCAACAAAAGGCCACGACACTTAGCATCCTAAACCCTAATGACAAACAAAGCCACCGAAGTCCCTAACTCCCCAGGTGCCTCTGCCTCCGCGCCTGGAGACTGCAGCGCAGAGGCGCTCGAGACGACTCCTCCTTCTTTAGACAGGAGCTCATCTTTGCTATGTAAGGCATTACTGTATTATTTTTGTCTTGTCTTGTATTATATGTTGTGTCTTATAATGTATCATATCGATTCTGCAAGAGATAACAGCTAGACGTAGCAACAAAGCGTTGTGGGCAATCTTACCGTCAAGCGTACCTGACTTGCCAGTCGCGCTTCAGTCGTCAGCGCAGTGGCAGACGAGGCTCTTGGGTCAGCCTTGGGATCCTTTCGAAATTCAGATTCCTGCAGTCAAGAAAGACATCACGTTCGCCCCTCATACAAGTAACAGAAACGAAGCCCCAAATACCAGCAGCATATTTTCTACTGTAGTACCTTTCCTTCCCTCCTAGTTTTGTGCCGAGGGTTTTTTGGGGTACTCAAGCCTTTCTGATTCTAGTCCACGAGCAGGCCGACATGGAAGCCTGGCCAATTTCCGGTCTGAGGCTGAATTTAGCTGGTCAGGTTTCGGGTCCGAAGAGATAATGGAATGTCCTCGACGGTTGCAAAGCATCATGCCTCTGGAGTGTTGAACAAGTCGCTGTGCATTGCTTAGGTTATGAATAGCTGCGTATGTGCAGTTATGCGTATGTGACAGTATTAGTGCCACTATGTATACGTATATGTATATATGTTTTCTTAAACAGATGCTCGCACATGTGATGACAAGTATGCTTGTATCTTCCAATATATCTCACGCATGTGTTGCGAGTTGTGTTGCCTCCGACTGCAACTGCTCACAGTAAACCAAGGTCGGAAGCCCTCCATGGCACACCACCACACAGTCGCCGCCAGCGCGCCGCACCGAGCACCAAATCGTCTGCCGGCTCTTTCTCTCGAAGTCACGCGTGGACGGCAATTTCTGGTCCAATGACTGCCCGCTGTCGTAAGTTGTAAGTACTTCTAGACCGTGACTGCGTTCCGTGGGGCTGGAAAGGGCAACTGCAAAGCGAACTCAGCAGACACCCTTCGAATCTCTGAGCTTGTGATGTTGCCTCCGTCCATCCGAGGAGCTTGCCCACGGACGTCCGGTGCCTATTGCTATGGCACGATTGTTGTGTGTAGTCCGTGCTGCTTGCCCTTGTGTTCACCCATGGGCCCATGCCTTCAACACGCATGTGGCCATTCACTTGCCTCAAACATTCGCAAGCCCTGCAAGCGCCGTGCCTTGACAAATTCAAATTGTAAGCATTGCCAGTGAGTGACACTTGGGCGAGCTCAGGAACGCAGACAAATTCATGCTATCCAACATGATTCCATTCATGTGACGTGACGATTTACACATGACCCTGTGGATATGTTCCTGAGGCATCTTGGAAGCTTAGCTTGCTGCCACAAACACCTCCGCTGCCGTTGCCGTCGAAGGTTGGTCCGGAGAGCCTTCCGACCTGATAAGTTGATCCACAGTTCGAGAAGATTGAACAGCTGCAGTGGGCGTCGCATCCTGCAGCAGTCTTCGGGCTAGCAGTCTCCGATTGGGTGTGCAGTGCAGCTATATGCAGCATGATAGACGGTTGCTAGATGAGCGGAATCCAGTAGCAAAGCACACGACCAGCGTAATTGAAAAAATCTGAAAGCTACAGTACACGCACAGACACATATATGCACATACCATGATAAGAGAGTTTTGGAATTAGAACTCCTGTCGAAGACTGCAAGTTCAAGGCTGGAAAGAGGCGCAGGTCAACAGTCCTAAGCCCTCGCAGACTAAAGATCTGACCACAACTCCTCAACATTCTGTAACCCCTGCACCCTAAAATCAAACCCGGAAGCCTTATTCAGCTCTTTGAACCTTCTACCAAAACCCTGCAAGCATCAAAGCTCAGCTCCTTTCAAAGCCATCTGGAACCAGAATCCTGAAGCCCCGCGAGACCCGCCCTGCCTTCGACTTCTCCCTGCCAAACTTCGCTCAAAGCGATGCCGGAGGCAGGAAAGGGCATGTTGAAGCGACTCTGAAATGTGTTGCCGCGCTTAGTCTGAACGATTTCAGGATTCTTTGAGCCTTATGCGGATTCAATGCTGATGGTTGGTAGTAGGTTATGATACAGTACGATTGCTGGAATCGGGTTAGTGTTGAAAGTCTTCCTTGGGTTTGTGACTGTTCTTGTCCTGCCAGGCCCAGAATTACCAAGACAACAGTCTCTGTGAGTGTCGAAGTCTTGTGTTCTAGCGAGTATCGCTTTGAAGAT